AAATTTTTGCAATTTCTTAAACTTGTTATTATCAAATGTGACTTTTAATTCATATCCTTCTATTCCTTCGTATTATTGTATATTTATATTATTACTTTCTATTTCTTCAATCTCTTTATTCAAATCCTGATTCATCCTCTTCTTTTTCACTTATATATACTTCTTAATCAAAGTATTCTTTAATATCTGATATTTCACTTAATTCATCTTTTATTTCTAAATATTCTTTTTATAATATTCTAACTTTTTTTTATTACAATCAGGGCTTATATGACCTATCTCTCCACAATTCCAACATTTACATTGACTTTTACTTTTTTTTATAATTCTTATTTTTCTGTTGATTATATTGGTTATTTTTTCTTTTATAATACATTTTTCTAGATTTTATATATTTTTTATTAAAATTTCTAAATTTTTTAAACTTTTTATTTTTATACTTTCTTTTATTAACTTTTCTTTCAGAATTACATCCCCACTGCACAGGAATTTCCATATCTTCACAACATATTCTAGTTTATTTTTCTGATTTTTTCATTAATTGCGTTTGTTGACATATATATGCAAGTCTTTCAAATAAAAATTTTATTCTTGAACCTAAAGTTCTAAATATTCCAATATTATCTCTAACATATTTTTCAAATTCTATTTTAAAATATATTCCCCAAAAACCTGATAATTTATTATAATACATATTTTGGTATACTTCTTGATTTTCATTACTATAAAATTGAACATAATAATAGTTTCTAAATTCACAAGTATATTCTTTAATTTTACACATATCACATATTGTTAAATTTATTAATTTAATCCTAACACTATCTTTTTCTCTTATTTCCTCTCTTTCAGCATTTCTTATCCAATTTTCTCCTTAAAATTCATCAGAAATATATTCTATTAATTTTTCTATACCTTGTCTATCTGATTTGATTATTTCTGTTTGTACATTTCTTTTTATTAATATTTTTGTATCATTATTTATTCCTTTCCACTAATTTCTAACACCTTCTTCAAATGATGCTATTAAGAAATCTATTTTTCTTTCAATACTTTCCCATGTGTCATTTTATTATATAAAAAGAATAATATCATCGAATCTGCCCAAGTTAATATGACTTTTTTAGTATCTATTTTACAATTTAGATCTAGTTTTGTTCCTCCATGATTAATTGGTTTATCATAATTATCATTTAATTCAAACCTATCTTTATATTTATTTCCTTTAGGTGGTTGTCCATCTCTTACTTTATCATAAAATTGTCTATATGGTTTATTATATATGAGTGCATAACTTTCATCTGTATTATGTAATTCTTGTTTAGAGGTTCCTGCTGTATTAGGTCCTCTTCCAGTATTCATTAAAACTTAGTATTCACTTATATCAGTTAGGCTTAATTGATCAAAATTTTCTATTAGCAAATCTAACTCTTCATTCATTTTTATCCTCTTTTTCTTCTTTTTTTAATATTCCTAATTATTTTTCTCTAAATTCTTCTTCTTCTTCTAATATCTTTGGTAATATATTTTTTCTAAATTTATTATCCATGCTCCCTATTTCTATTAATATATTTTCTTTTTCTATATATTTTTTTCCTATTCGAGTCATCTCTTTTTCTATAAGTTTTTTTATTTATTTTCTTATCTTTATTCTTATTATTTTCTTTTAATTCTCTAATCTCAATTTTTAATATATTTATATCATTTTTTGTTTCTTTTACTTCATTTCTCAATTCTTGTACATCATTTATTAATATTTTTATTAGTGATTTTAATTCTTCCATATATTCACTTATTAACATTTCAATTTTTTCTTATTTCTAACTCATAAGTTAATTTGCATCTTTTATCTTTTTTTTTATCTATTATTTTTCTAAATCTTCTCTCAACTATTTCTGGATCTACTAATTATTCTTTAGCTATAGTAAAATATTTGCTTTCCAGTCTTAGTGTTTCACATTTTAGTTTTGTTAATTGTCTATTATTTGGTATTCTCATTCCTTTTGGTCTTAACATTATATTTCCTATTTCTTCTTGTATTTTATTCATTTTTAAAAGTAATTTATTTAATTTTTGATGTGTATTATCAATTGTACTCATATTTTTCTTTATAATATAAATTATTTTCTTCATCTTCATAAATATTAATAATTTTCTCATATGTATATATATCCTTTATTGTTTCTATTATTGATTTTTCTAATATTTGTTTTATTTCTTTATGAAGTTCTTTAATTATTGTCAAAGTCATTATTTTTAATTTATTATGAATAGGTTTTAAAAATATATAACTTCCTCTTTCTTCTTCTAAACACCAAAAGTTATTTATTTTCTTTATTTTAATTTTCATGATCTCTATGACTCTGATACAAATAAATGGGGGTGCTACTTAGAGCGAACATAAATAAAATAAATCAAATAAATCAAATAACATAAATAGGGGTGCTACTTAGAGTGAACATAAATCTAATAAATCTAATAAATCAAAAAATTGGTAATCTATTAAAATTCATAAAGTATTTGATTTTTTAAGGACTAAATTGAAAGATTTCTATATTTCATTAACTTATTATGTAATATTATAAAGGGGTATTTTGGGTATCAAAATTAGCCAAAGGCTATTTCGGAAAAATGGTCTTTCTATTTGGGTCATTTTCATGTATTTCCCTCCACGCATACACGTTTGACGTGCTACCTTTAATTTTGTCCACTAGATTAGATATGGTGCTTGTTTGGCAGAGATTTTATTAATTAATTTTTTGATCGTTAAAAATAAATTTGGGTTCAATTCAAAAATGACGGCTGGAATAGTGAAATAACGGTAAAAAATTTGATGTTAATTGGATTAAAATCTCTATCATGCTCATAGTATTAAGCCATTTCTACATAAATTTTTCCACAGAATTTGGCCAGATTACTCTCATGTGTGGTACCCACCGTAAATAAAAAATTGCCAAAACCCACCCCGCCCACCCCCATGTGTGTGTTCTAGCAGACTTCTGTATGAAGTCTACCTCTACACACAACAGGCCTGTTATATAAATGTTTGTGTGTGTGTGTGTGTGTGTGTGTGTGTCATCTTTTAATTGGTTGGAATTTGAGACGAAAACCTAATTTTATTCGATCATGTTACATGGTTGGAGTCGATAGCGAAATTTTATTTTCAGACAATACTTGGTAGATTCTCATTGAAAATTAGGAAAAAACATAAAAACACTCAATCATAGACCGCCACATCAATCTTTTTTTCTCTATTTATTTTCATTGTTTGTTCAGCATTATTCAATTTTATTTAGCTCGTATTTAGGGGGTGTTTGGGAGATATTTTTATGTAAAAATGCATTTTTGAATAGTAAATTGATGGAAAATGTGTGGTTGAAAAATAAAAAAAAATTTGATTTACGTATAATATTATTTTAATAAAGAATGTGTGGTTGAAAAAAAGAGAGAAAAATACATTTTGAAAAAAATGGGTACCAAACGGGGCTTTAAGTTCCATTAAAATTAAAATTTATTTTTTTTATCTTCTTACTAATTACACATTTTTGAATAAAATAATATTAAAGACTGAGCAATCCTTTCTTTTTTTGATCTATAGCATTTCGATGTCCCAATTCGCTTGGGAGAAAGGAAGCCAAAGGCGAAGACCAGGGATAAAGACGCAGCCTCAGAATTCCAACTTTGAGTCCCCACCCATGGTAACAAAGGCGGAGTCAGATAATTTTTTCAATGCCGGCAAAATTTCAGTACGGGCACGAATTTTTTCTCCCACCAACTTTTCTCACATGGAATAAGCTGCTTCCGGTTTTCCAAAGTTACTGAACTATACATGCCTGAGTTTAGTAAAACAGATTTTTACAGAAACTACTCCACACCAATCATTATTCTTTCCCAAAGACTATACATGGCTCCGCCCCTGCATGGTAATGAGTTACGGGAGCTAGTTCTATCACTTTTGCCCAACTACAGGTTTAAGCACAAAAATATTTTTTTTTTTTTAACCACACATTTTCCCAAAAATTACTATTTCAAAACATATTTTTTCCAAATTCTAATTAAAATGGAGGCCAAACAAGGGCTTACTCACACATATGGAAAGGCTTGGCTTTTCATCAATCTATTGCTTTTAATTAATCTATTTGCACAATCATAGATGACAATGTGATTGACAATGTATAAGTTGTCAAAAAACTTTGAGTTGCAAAAACAACTTGTTTTTCAAACTTTCCAATGACAATTTGTCATATGACATGTTATCAATAAGATTATCATTCAGATTGTACACCAG